CCTTAAAGGGCAAGGTCTTTATCTTATGTGTGTCAGCTTTGCTGGGTGAATTACTTATATAATCAAAGAAGGTATAAAAATAAGGCTTTTTTGATATTTGGGCCTTTTTCTCTTTTTAGAGAAGCCCGTGTTTGTTCAGCTGAATAAAAACGTAACGTTTGAAGGCAAATTCTGGTTTCCTGTATTTTTTATCAAGCAAAACCTCAGAACTTGCACATCAGTCCACTAGGACTCTGAGATCCCTCTCATAGTTACTACTATTGAGCAAGGTACCCCCTATACTCTACGTGTGCATTTGGTTTTTCTTGCCTAAATGTAGAACCTTATAGCATATAGTATATGAACAAAGATTATTCATTCCTCTTTTTTTGGATTCGGTAGAAAGAAAAAAGATCTGACATGGTAGCTTTCTTCCAATATTTAAGGGGCTGCCACAAGGGAGCAGAGGTTCAACCTATTCTCCAAAGCACCTGAAGGCAGGACCAGAAGCCATGGATGGAAATTAGGAGACATTTCCTGAAAGCCAGAACAATTAAGCAGAGGAACTGGCTGCCACCAGAAGTTCAGGGTGCTGCATCACTGGAGGTTTCAAAAGAGACTGGAGAATGCTTCTCTGTAAAGTTAGGGGTTCTCCCGCCTGAGCAGGGAGTTGGGCTAGAAGGCCTCAAAGATTCTTTCCAGCTCTATTGTTTTTTTATTCTGTTATCCTTTTTGGGGTTGGGAGAACATGAGCTCAGTTCAGTCATAAAGAACCTGTGACACTCCAGGCCAGTTTGGAGACCCGCCAGGCCTTCAGAGCCCCCTGGAAGCCGCCCTGTGGAGCCTCTGATGAGCACCCAAGGGACCTCCTGCCCTTTTTGGAGGCTGCAAGGCCAGGACGTTTCCTGGCCTCCNAGCTGTCTGGGTTTATAAGCATTGCTAAAAACATTGACAATTATGTAAGCATTTAACAATTTATTTAAATAATTCAATGTATTATTCCTTATAATATTTCATAATCAATAATGAAAAAGCTAAGTATTTATTTAACAATGAATGGAAATAATTTATTATTCTTTGGTATAATTTTCAAAGTGGGTGGGAGGAGGGGGGGAGTGTCCAGCAGAGTCAAAGAGGGAATTCTGAATTTTTGACAATCAATCAGTGGCTCAATTCAATTTCTTTTCCTAACACCCCCGCTCCCCCCCTCCCCATTGAAATGAGGTCAGACTGTGACAAGATCACATTACAATCTCAATAAACGTTTTAAAACTACACTTCGCTCCCTTTTCAAACTGCACTGGAGGGAAACGGATGTTCAGAGGCTTCCTGTTCAAACGGACCACAGAGAGACCTTCTGAAAGCAACTTCCCCAAAAGCTCCTCCCCGGATCCACCCGAAGCCCCACGGGGAGCCTCGGCCGGGCGACGAGGGGGCAGATCCAGCCCGGGGAGGGAGGGACCCCCTTTGCCCCCCTGGAGGGAAGGGAGGGATCCGCTCCCTGCAGGCGACGCCAGAGCCGAATCTCCCCAAGGAAAACCCGGCAAGCCGGAGAGGCGGATCCGCAGCTACCTTTCTCCTGGCGGGGGGGGGAAGCTCTCCTGGCGGGAGGGGCGCCCCAAAGGCCGGAGGGAGAGCAGCCAGACCTGCCCCGAGCGGGATCCAGAAGCCTCTCCCGAGGGATCCAACGCCGATCCTACCAGGGCGAAGCGGGACACGTGGAGAGAAGCGGAGATCCAGCGAGTGGGAGGAGAGAGGCGGGGGCGGGGCTTCTGCTCTCCTTCTGGGCCCCGCCCCCGCCTTACAGCCCCGCCCCTCAGCAGCCTCAGAACCTCCCCCCTCCCTGCCTTCCCAGCCGGGACTCCCTGTTTCTCCGCTGGGCATCCGCCTCCCGGGTTCCTCTGCCCATGCGAAGAGTGCCCTGCTGTGTCCGGGCGGGGATGGGTGGAAACTGAAGCTCCGCGATGGCTTTTTTTTGGGGGGGGGCCAGGAGCGACAGGAACCCCCGGCTGGATGTTTGCGGAGACCGACTGAGGACGGAGAGGGAGGGGCTTGTCCGGGGTCCCTTTCCCGGGGGAGCTTCCCTGGTCGGGGGGGGGGAATGGAGAAGCCGAGTCCCCAAACGCCTTTTCCCGCCCCCTCCGTCCCCCCCTCTGCCTTTCCCAGCCTATGGATCCCTCCAGGTGTTTTTTTTGGGGGGGGGTCTCTACCGGCATCGCCTCCTCCACACCCGGGGCCGGATCTTCGCCCAAGTGCAGTTTTGCTGCCTCTTCCCTCGCTTCCTCCCAAACCATCCTCCTCCTCTCTGCGGGGGGGGGGGGAGTGTCACAAGAGAGGCAGCCAGTTATCTCTACCTTTGTTTCCCTACATCAATTCAAATTTCTCCCACCCTTTTGTCCTGTTTACTGCTCGGCTTGACTAATCCCTTAATCGTTAAACAATTGAAACCTTTTATTTTTATACTTCTTTGCTCCTCACAGGTCCCTTCAGCCTCCCTCCAGGGTCCCCCCCCACTCCCCAAGGGTCCTCAGGGGTGGTCAGGAGGGACAGAGAGACGGAGCAGGTGGCTCCTTGCAGTGGCAAAGGGGGTTACAGCTTTTTTCCCCATCTTTTCCTTTTTTCTTCCTCCTCTTCCTCCTCCCCCTCCCCTCCCCCCCAGCGCTGCAACATTTAAGCAAACAAAATTTCCAAGTTTTTTCACTGGGGTGAACAATGTGGGAAAAGTGCATTCCGGAGAAATTAACAACATGCTGTAGGATAGTTGAAATGCTTTTATTAAGGCTGCACAAAAGACTGAATTTTTTTTTTTATTTTTTTTTTAAAAAGTCCCACTCCAAAAGATTACGAACTTCCATAAGGTTGCCAGAGAAACAAAACATCCATGAAACCTTAAAAGTTTTAACCCAGTTCAGAGCTGGCAACCTGGGTCTCTTGGGGGTCTCTTCCACTGGGAATAGGAGAGGACGGAGGGCGGATAAAGGGGCAACAAAGACCCTAAGAGAGCTTAAGTGGCATCTGTAGGATATTTCCCTCCCTGTGGATCACAACTTTTTTTTAATAACAGTCAGTCCAGGGAAACTTTTTTCTCAGTTTATCACAATACCAACCACTCTTGTGTTTTTTTGAAAGATTTCAGGATAAAAGGTTTTCTATGCTACACCAAACACACAATTTCTTTTTCTTGTGGATCCTTTGGGCCCTCCAGAAGTCACAGTGAATTCTGTATTTTGTAATTTTCCAATCATTTAGTGAATGCTAGCAAGACTCCTTGTGGCAAGACAATCACTGGAGCCACAACCCAAGAAACAAAACGTTAAGCTCCTGTATATAGAATGTAATTTTATTTACTCTGCAGTCCAAATATTTCTCTTTATGAGATATAAAAACAATTAGAAGCATTTAGAGCAGCACCTTTTCATGACTGCCATTTGCAAACTTCTGTGCTGCCTTCCCCAGAAAGTCAAAGGGGAAGCTGGCATGGAAGACTGCAAGTCACTGGGTAGGCATCTTCCACTCAGATCCCCTCCCCTAACCCCTCTGCACTTGTGCTGTGCCAGCCACTTCTGGAGTCCCTATTGCCCACATCCTGACCCACATGACCCTCCTTCCCCCATGTCCTCCCCCTGTCCTGTCTCTCCTCTCCTGCTGCCATGCCATGCCTCTTGACCACTTTGCCCTCTCACCCACCCACCCCTGCTATCCCTGTTGCACACCCTTCCTGACCCTCTTCCATCACCTGGGACTATCTTTGTGCCCTCTCACACAGGTCAGGAGATGCTTTGCTGCTGTGGACCTGGGACTCACAACTTCCTGCAGTTTCCCCACCGACTCTGTGGGAAGCCTGCAGGAAGTCGCCCCGTCAAATGACTGTGGGATTCAATTGAGGACGACAACCAGGACTGTAGGGATTGTCAACACTGTGCAGTGCAGTCAGGAGTTTGTGAGGGCATCATTTAAGGATGAAAACTCCAGTCCCAAATGCGGCCGTAAGTGGAACACAGGCTGTGGCTTCTTTTCCTGCTAGCAAGCGTGAAGATCGAGCCAAAGGAAGAATAACGAAATAATTAAAGAAGAATGTTCCATTTATCAAACACGGACAAGAATTTTAAAATAACATTTTAAAATATTCTTACAGTTCCTGAACATCTGAGCAGTTTCCATCCACTTTGTCTTTCTTTGCTAGAAATACAAGAGAGTGGCAAGAACTTTGCTTTCAACGTTTTTTATTTTCAGCTAGACAATTTGTCAGGAATGAAGGCGAATATACATTCTATACATGTCCATATATGATGACCTAAAAGCCAGCCACCAACACACCAGAATCCACATCCAAAAAGCCAAAAAATTATGTAACCGCTTTATGGGCACTTGGCAGCTGGATGGCTTTTAAGACCACTTGCGTGATCCTGCAGCCGTGGGATCCCAATTTTTCTTTTTCTGCTAGTTCCTGGCATTCTTTTTGCCACTTTTTATATTAAAAAAAGACATATAGAAGAATGGCTTTATACTTAGGATTACAGTGATTTTTTTAATGACCAGAAATATGTCAGAAAATCAGCTCCAATATATATGGGTGCCTCGACTAACAACCGTAACAACTTATCGACCCGAAATCTGTTCCCAATTGCGACTGTAAGTCAAGACTAGCTGCACTCTGCAAAACATTATCTACTCTGCCCATCACTTATAACTCTTTTCTCTTGTGTAATCACTCTGTTAACGTACTAGCGCTGCTGCTTTGTGTGCCAAACTTTTTAACACTCCCAACATTTATGTAGTTTTCCTTGATTATAGTACTTAAGGCTACTTGAATAAGAAAAATATTTTCCCCACACCAAACAATAGTAGGATTTCCCTTCTGTCACTGTGTGATCTTCCTGGTTAACGTTAAGATGTGACTTTTGAAAAAAAAATGTTTTCAACGTTCACAGCGGAAGAGGTTTATCTCTGCTATGGACATTTGGATGCATTTTTAACTCTGATTTACAATGAAAAGTTTTCTCACACTCTACAAACTTATAAGGCCACTATCCTGTGTGATTTCTGGTGTGTATGCGAAGTGACGAAGAATGGGCAAAACATTTCCCACACTGCAGACATTTGTATGGTTTCTCTCCAGTGTGGATTCTCTGATGCATCACAAGAGTATCTTTCCGAGAAAAACATTTATTGCACTCGGAACATTTATGGGGCTTCTCTCCTGTATGGATTCGGCTGTGGCTTCTGAGGGAACATGCATGAGCAAATGTTCTCCCACAGTCTAAACATTTGTAGTTTTTTTCCCCTGTGTGAATTTTCACATGACTTTTAAGGGCGGATGAGGTACGATAGAATCGTCCACATTCGTTGCATTGATAGGGCTTCTCCCCTGTGTGGGTTTTATGATGTTTCCAAAGGTCTCCCTTTTGAGTAAAACACTTTCCACATTCTACGCATCTGTATGGCTTCTCTCCTGTGTGGAGCCTCTGATGACTTCCAAGGTGTTGTTTTTGCGAAAAACATTTCCCACACTCCCCACATTTGTATGGTTTTTCCCCTGTGTGGATTCTCTGATGAATCTGAAACTCTCCTAGCAAACTAAAACTTTTCCCACACTCCCCACATTTATAGCGTAACTCTCCTTTGTGCCTCTCCTCGTGTCTCCGAAGTTCATAAGAAAACATAAATCGTTTGTCACATTCTGGGCATTCATAGGGTCTCTCTCCGGTGTGAAGTCTCTGATGTCGCATCAGGTTTGATTTCCGGGAAAAACATTTCCCACATTCCAGGCACTTTTCCTTTTTCTCCCCTCTGTGTGTTTTCTCATGAGTTCGAAGACCTGAACTCTGGTTGAAACATTTCCCACACTCAAAGCATTTGTACGATTTTATTCCTGCATGAACCTTCTCATGGAGCCAAAGACTTGAGTTCTGAGAAAAGCTCTTTCCACATTCCCAACATTTGTAAGGCTTCTCCCCTGTGTGAAGCCTCTCGTGGTTTCTGAGGGTGGATTTCTCACAAAAAAATTTCCCACATTCCAGACACTGATAGGGTTTCTCTCCTGTGTGGATTTTCTGATGTGTAAGAAGGTCTGACTTTCGACGAAAGCATAAGTCACATTTTATACATCTATAGGGTTTTAGTTTGGGGGGGTTTCTGAGACCTTTGGTGTCTGTTCCAGAGGATTTCTCACCCTCCAAACCTTGACTGGATCCACTTCCCACATGGATCTTCTTGTGAGTAAAAAGCACTGATTTGAGAGAAAAGGATTTCCCACACTCTGAGCATTCATTGGGATTTTTGTGGTTTTCCGGAGTGCTGATTGTGTCTGAGGGGGGATCCAAGAGTTTCCCAGGCTCCATGCTTTCTGGTGACTGCTGCCTTGTGTTGATTTTCTATTATGTGTTGAATTGCAGATAAAACTTTGATTACAATCTTTTGTCTGCTGTGAGAATAAAAAAAAAATTGAGAATAATATTTCCTTTTGAGAATGGTAGAGAATCACAAAATCTCAGCCTTGGAAGGGACCTTGAAGGTCTTCCAGTCCCACCCTCTGCCCAGGGTAGGGTCCCCAGTACACCCGAGACAGTGATGGAGGCCCTACATCTATAGGAGAGATGTCCTCTGCTTATGACCACAGTCGGGACTTGAATTTCAGTTGTTCAGTGAAGCAGCAGTTAGGGGAGGAGTCACATGATCCCTTGGATCCACAACCATAATCCCACACTGCTGGATGCAATCATGAAGTGATCTTGAGGGTTCTTAAGTGGGGGGAGGACCAGGCAACGGTGGTGGGGGAGGTCCTGGAGATCAGGCATAGGCCACCCATGAGTTGGGGGGGGGGTTTTCTGAAGTGGGATACAAAGCTTCAGCCACCCCTGGAAGCCTGAGCTATATACAACCACAGCCATGAAAAGCAGCCCCCATTGACAACAATACTGGGACTGCGTCTTAAGTGGAGGCCTGGGGCCCTCAGCCATTTCAGCCATATGCCACTGACCCCAGGACTGGACTTCAGCCCACTGAAGAGAAATGAGGCCTTAATCCCCAGACCGGAGGCCTTTGTAGCCTTGCGCCATTCTCCCAGCTGCCTGTTTCATACTGTTGCTAAGCAACATGTCCCAAAGCATCTCTATCCTTCAGGGCCCCCTCAACTTCCACATTCCCTGTGCCAGGACTCACAGGGCCTCCCCTGCCCACTTCAGGCAACCCCACATTCCTTAACTGGGACTTTGTCTGCTTGTGAAGTAGCTTAACCATCACGAGGGCAGGATTGCAGTTGTTCAGTAAAGCGGTCATGTGACATCTCACTTAATGACCGCTTCTCAAAGACTGAGATTCCGGTCTGAATTGTGGTCATAATATGAGGAGTACCTATAGGGGATCCCCAAAATTAAGGCATCGCATAAGCAAGAGAGGAGGAAAGAGAGTAAGAAACCCATTCCTGATTCCCTTTTTCTCGCTTTTTCCGATTTTGGCACCATTGAGCTCCATCCCATCATGACGTCTTGATCAAAGCTTGCTTGTGACACATACATTTTATAAAATACTACAAGAAGGAAAAAAAATGGACCCGGGAAATTATAGAGCAGTCAGACTGACATCAATACCTGGGAAGGTCTTGGAAAAGATAATCAAGCAGGGAAACCAACAAAGCTGGTTTGTGCAGGAAGCTGATTCTCCAATTGGGCCACGATTTCCAAATTCTCTAGAAGGGAGTCTGGGCCAAAAGCCTGTGGGTCCCGATCCAAGAACCCCCCTTTTCTTCTGTGGAGCTCACGGCCACATCCTCACTGGTCTCCTGCAAAGAGGAATGAGAAAGGCTCAGATGCTGAGCATAATCTATAAATGACCTGGAGGCAGGAGGAGAATATGGAATTATTTGTTGAGGATACAAAATAATGGAGACAGAATCGTGATTTGAAGAAGATCTTGATGAGCCAAAATGGAAGAAACCAGCAAGATGAAGTCCAACAGGGACCAATGCGTGGTTGTGAGTAGGAAAACTCAGTGGGAAATGAGAGAGATCAGGTGGGGCAGAGCATGTGTGAAAAGGGCTGCTCTTTCTTATGCTTTTTGTAGGCTGCAAGGCCACAAAGATTTTAGGTCTCTGAAGCTGCCTCGGATAGGCATTTTGAAAAATATTTAAAATTATGTAAGGCAGCTTTCTAGCCATCAGCTTGTTCTATTACCTGCTTTACAAGACCAGCCTCAAAACTTCCTCAGAACTTTGTATGCTTTGTAAAACATCCACCAAGAAGGGGCTGCCTCATCCCAGCCTTCTGGGGCCAAAAAAGGAAAATATTGCTTTTTAGAGATTCCACACAGCTTTTTAAAGCAGGAGCAAGGTAAACATTTGCATAAAAACAAAGGGTTTCCCTGCTGGCCTTTTACGCTGAGCACAAAAAAGAGGATCTCACCTGGGTTAAGAAAACACGAGCTCAATTCAGTCAATTTCAACTTGTTTTCTTTCCCCCAATCCTTCCCCTCCCCCTTGCAATGGGGTCAATTGCGTTAACACCATATTATAAATGTTTTTATATTTATGTCTCCGTAAATGTTTTAAAGCTCCTCTTACTCCATTTTTGCAACTGCACGTGCGAGGATATGCATGCTCGGAAACCTCGTGCTCTGGCGGACCACAGAGAAACCTTCTAAAAGCAAAATCCCCAAAACCTCCTTCCCGGATCCACCCGGAGCCCCACGGGGATCCTGGGCCGGGCGAGGAGGGGGGCAGATCCAGCCCGGGGAGGGAGGGACCCCCTTTGCCCCCCTGGAGGGAAGGGAGGGAGCCGCTCCCTGCAGGCGACGCCAGAGCCGAATCTCCCCAAGGAAAACCCGGCAAGCCGGAGAGAGGCGGATCCGCAGCTACCTTTCTCCTGGCGGGGGGGGGAAAGCTCTCCTGGCGGGAGGGGCGCCCCAAAGGCCGGAGGGAGAGCAGCCAGACCTGCCCCGAGCGGGATCCAGAAGCCTCTCCCGAGGGATCCAGCGCCGATCCTGCCAGGGCGAAGGGAGACACGTGGAGAGAAGCGGAGATAACAGCGAGTGGGAGGAGAGAGGCGGGGGCGGGGCTTCTGCTCTCCTTCTGGGCTCCGCCCATGCCTTACAGCCCCGCCCCTTAGCAGCCTCAGAACCTCCCCCCTCCCTTCCCCTTTACGCCTTCACAGGCGGGACTCCCTGTTTCTCCGCTGGGCATCCGCCTCCCGGGTTCCTCTGCCCATGCGAAGAGTGCCCTGCTCTGTCCGGACGGGGCTGTTTGGAAACTGAAGCTCCGCGATGGTTTTTTATTTTGGGGGGGGGAGCCAGGAGCGACAGGAGCCCCCACCCTTCGGCTGGATGTTTGTGGAGTCCGACTGAGGACGGAGAGTGGGGGGGGGCTGGTCCGGGGTCCCTTCCCCGGGGGAGCTTCCCTGGTCGGGGGGGGGGAAATGGAGAAGCCGAGTCCCCAAATGCCTTTACCCACCCCACTCCGTCCCCCCGTCTGCCTTTCCCAGCCTATGGATCCCTCCAGGTGTTTTTTTGGGGGGGGGGGGCTCTACCGGCATCGCCTCCTCCACACCCGGGGCCGGATCTTCGCCCAAGTGCAGTTTTTCTTCCTCTTCCCTCGCTTCCTCCCAAACCATCCTCCTCCTCTCTGCGGGGGGGGGGGGGAGTGTCACAAGAGAGGCAGCCAGTTATCTCTACCTTTGTTTCCCTACATCAATTCAAATTTCTCCCCACCCTTTTGTCCTGTTTACTGTTCGGCTTGACTAATTCCTTAATCGTTAAACAATTGAAACCTTTTCTTTTTAAACTTCTTTGCTCCTCACAGGTCCCTTCAGCCTCCCTCCAGGGTCCCCCCCCCACTCCCCAAGGGTCCTCAGGAGTGCTCAGGAGGGACAGAGAGACGGAGCAGGTGGCTCCTTGCAGTGGCAAAGGGGTTACAGCTTTTTTCCCCATCTTTTCCTTTTCTCTTCCTCCTCCCCCTCCCCTCCCCGCCCCCCCACCGGCGCTGCAATATTTAAGCAAACAAAATTTCCAAGTTTTTTCACTGTGTTGAACAATGTGGGAAAAGTGCATTCTGGAGAAATTAACAACATGCTGTAGGATAGTTGAAATGCTTTTATTAAGGCTGCACAAAAGACTGGTTTTTTTTTTAAAAAAAAAGTCCCACTCCAAAAGGTTACGAACTTCCATACGGTTCCCAGAGAAACAAAACATCCATGAAACCTTAAAAGTTTTAACCCAGTTCAGAGCTGGCAACCCGGGTCTCTTGGGGGTCTCTTCCACTGGGAATAGGAGAAGACGGAGGGCGGATAAAGAGGCAACAGAGACCCTAAGAGAACTTAAATGGCATCTGTAGAATATTTCCCTTCCTCTGGATCACAACTTTTTTTTTAATAACCCTCAGCCCAGGGAAACTTTTTTCTCAGTTTATCACAATTATGAACCGCTTTGTGTTTTTTGAAAAGATTTCAGGCCCTACAAACAGTTTATAACTCACTGTGTGAAAACGGGGCATCCCGAAGCCCAGCAGGGGAGGGAGGGAGGGAAGCAGGGACCCAGCATCCCCAGCGCCTCTCTCCGATTCTGGGCAGAAGGGAGGGGAAGGCAGAGGGGGCGGGGGGGAACCATGGGTTGACTCTCCTCCCCCCCCCGGTCTGTTCTCTCCTGGCCACCTGCGCAGCTGGACTTGGAGATCCTCTGGATCGAGAAGGGATCCGCTCGGGGCTTCTTCCCGTTCCTCCCCCAGGCGGTCCCCCAACCTCGGCAATCCTCGCAATTCCCTCCCCGAGTCCTTGGCGGCCATCGCGGAGCTTCAGTCTCCACCCAGATGCCGCAGCAGGCGGGAGCTCCGCCCGGGCACAGCAGGGCACTCTTCGCATGGGCAGAGGAACCCCGGACGCGGGTGCCCAGCGGAGGAAAAGGGAGTCCCGGCTGGGAAGGCAGGGGAGGAGAGGGAGGGGGAGGAGCTGAGGCTGCTAAGGGGCGTGTCTGCAACGCGTGGGCGGAGACCAGGAGGAGAGCACAAGCTCCGCCTCCTCCTACTCGGTGGATTTCCGCTTCCCTCCCCGTGTCTCACTTCGCCCTGGCAGGATCGGCGCTGGATCCCTCGGGAGAGGCTTCTGGATCCCGCTCGGGGCAGGTCTGGCTGCTCTCCCTCCGGCCTTTGGGGCGCCCCTCCCGCCAGGAGAGCTTCCCCCCCCCCCGCCAGGAGAAAGGTAGCTGCGGATCCGCCTCTCCGGCTTGCCGGGTTTTCCTTGGGGAGATTCGGCTCTGGCGTCGCCTGTAGGGAGTGGATCCTTCCCTCCAGGGGGGCAAAGGGGGTCCCTCCCTCCCCGGGCTGGATCTGCCCCCTCCTCGCCCGGCCCAGGATCCCCGT